TGTGTCTCCACATGTCTCCCTGTGTGTCTCCACGTGTCTCCCTGTGTCTCCACGTGTCTCCCTGCGCGTGTCCACGTGTCTCCACGTGTCCACGCGTGTCCACGTGTCTCCCTGTGTGTCTCCACGCGTGTCCACGTGTCTCCATGCGTCTCCACGTGTCTCCCTGCGCGTGTCCACGTGTCTCCCTGCGCGTGTCCACGCGTCTCCCTGCGGGTGTCCACGTGTCTCCACGCCCGTGTCTCCACGTCCGCGTCTCCCCGTCTCCGTCTCCCCGTCTCCGTCTCCCCGTCCACGCGTCTCCGTCTCCACGTCTCCACGCGTGTGTGTCTCCCCGTCTCCGTCTCCCCGTCTCCACGCGTGTGTGTCTCCCCGTCTGTCTCCCCGTGTGCGTCTCCCCGTCTGTGTCTCCCCGTGTGCGTCTCCATGCGTCTCCCCGCGTCTCTACGTGTCTCCCCGCGTGTCCCCGTGTCTCCCCACGTGTCCCCGTGTCTCCCCGTGTCTCCCCGCGTGTCCCCGTGTCTCCCCGCGTGTCCCCGTGTCTCCACGTGTCTCCCCGCGTGTCCCCGTGTCTCCCCGTGTCTCCCCGCGTGTCCCCCACTCACATGCTGGGGGCAAGCCAGGATAAACCACAGACAGACGGGAACGTGAACACTCGCCATGCACATTTACTGCGCGACATCGAGATCCCCACGCCCACTGACAGTCTCTACACAGTCTCTACACACAGTGTCTACACGGTGTCTACACAGTGTCTACACAATGTCTACACAGTCTCTACAGTGTCTACAAAGTGTCTACACAATGTCTACACAGTCTCTACACACAGTCTCTACAGTGTTTACACAGTGTCTACACACAGTGTCTACACACAGTCTCTACACAGTCTCTACAATGTGTCCACACAATGTCTACACAGTCTCTACACACAGTCTCTACAATGTGTCCACACAATGTCTACACAGTCTCTACACAGTGTCTACACAGTCTCTACACAGTCTCTACACACAGTCTCTACACAATGTCTACACAGTCTCTACACACAGTCTCTACAAAGTGTCTACACAATGTCTACACAGTCTCTACAGTGTCTACACAGTGTCTACACGGTGTCTACACGGTGTCTACACAGTGTCCACACAGTCTCTACAAAGTGTCTACACAATGTCCACACAGTGTCTACACACAGTGTCCACACAGTGTCCACACAGTCTAGACGGTTACATTTTGACTCTAAACTTTCCCGACTGCAGGAATTCATGTTCTTTGGTTCTTTCGTTAAAGTCACATAGATAGAATAATAATAATAAAATAATAAAAATAAAATAAACCACTACGTTTCGATCGCAAACACAAAGCGGTCGTCATCAGGAAAAGGGGGGTCAGCCTCTAAAGTCAAACCGTTTGTAAAGGTTTCAAGAGATGGGCGTAGCCCCAAGTGCGTCAGCAGTGTGGGCGGGGCAGCTGATGCTAATGTGGGAAACAACTCGGCAGTTGGTGGGGCTCCACCAATCAAAGGGCCACCAGCAGCGTGGGCGGGGCAGCTGATGCTAATGTGGGAAACAGCTCGGCAGTTGGTGGGTCTCCACCAATCAAAGAGCCGTCAGCAGCGTGGGCGGGGCAGCTGATGCTAATGTGGGAAACAACTCGACAGCTGGTGGGGCTCCACCAATCAAAGGGCCGTCAGCAGCGTGGGCGGGGCAGCAGATGCTGATGTGGGAAACAGCTCGGCAGTTGGTGGGTCTCCACCAATCAAAGAGCCGAAAGCAGTGTGGGCGGGGCAGCTGATGCTAATGTGGGAAACAACTCGGCAGTTGGTGGGTCTCCACCACACTGCTGGCGGCTCTTTGATTGGTGGAGACCCACCAACTGCCGAGCCGTTCCCCACATTAGCGTCAGCTGCCCCGCCCACGCTGCTGACGGCCCTTTGATTGGTGGAGACCCACCAACTGCCGAGCTGTTTCCCACATCAGCATCTGCTGCCCCGCCCACGCTGCTGACGGCCCTTTGATTGGTGGAGACCCACAAACTGCTGACGGCCCTTTGGGCTACGCCCATCTCTTGAAACCTTTACAAACAATCCTGATTTGAAGCTTCCGCGACCGTAGGAATCCACGCTCCGATTCGCTCGGTAAAGTCACGTGAGGAAGATAATTAAACAGAGCGCGACGACGTTTCCGTGGCAACGCGAGCAATCGTCATCAGGTGCGACGACCACACAGCAATGAAAAAAAAAACTGCCGTGCTTGTTCCACCTGATGACGACTGCCCGCGTTGCCACGGAAACGTCGCGATCCATCACTTTTCTACCTCACGTCACTTTAGAGGCGAACCCCATCCTGTCCCCGATGACGACTGCTCGTGCTGAAATGTTGCGGGGTTTTTTTTTTGGGGTCGCTGTTAAATTTGTTCTCATCGTTTTACTTATTTCATTGCCATTCTTATTTTTACGATCTCCGTGACAATTTCCCGAAAGAACCAAAGAGTAGTCTGGACGGTCTCCACAATCTACACGGTCTCTCTACAGCCTACAAACGTCTCTACAATCTACACGGTCTCTACAGCCTACAATTTATACAGTCTAGACGGTCTCTACAATCTACACGGTCTCTACAGCCTACAATTTCTACAGTCTAGACAGCCTAGACAGTCTCTACAATCTACACGGTCTCTACAGCCTACAATTTCTACAGTCTAGACGGTCTCTACAATCTACACGGTCTCTACAGCCTACAATTCTAGAGTCTAGACAGTCTCTACAATCTACACGGTCTCTCTACAGCCTACAATCGTCTCTACAATCTACACGGTCTCTACAGCCTACAATTCTAGAGTCTAAACGGTCTCTACAATCTACACGGTCTCTACAGCCTACAATTTCTAGAGTCTAGACAGTCTCTACAATCTACACGGTCTCTACAGCCTACCATTTCTACAGTCTAGACGGTCTCTACAATCTACACGCTCTCAACAGCCTACAATTTCTACAGTCTAGACAGTCTCCACAGTCTACACAGTCTCCACAGTCTCCACACTTCAGACGGCTCGTCCCAACACACGCAATCGCCACCAACCAATGCGTCAACGCCGCGGGGATTTACGGCCGAGTCAACCCGGGTGCATCCCGAACCCCCCGGGGTGGTTGGGACACGCGGAGTAATGTCCAGTTCCGGGAATCAACATCGTCGTCATCGGCAACATCATCATCACCACCATAATCGTCATCATCATCATCGTCATCGTCGTCGGAAACATCATCATCACCCATCACCACCACGAGCAGCTTCTTCACAGATAAACTCGGTGCCGGACTATCCTAGTAGCACAAGTAACAAATGCAGCTTTAAAGCTATGAATTCCGGTTCAGTGATTCTGCACTTGTTCTGTGACTATAGTACTAAACCGCCTTCAACTTCTATGAATGATTGGGAGCGGGCGGGGGGTGGTGTTTAAGGTTAGCGATTTGTTGTATTATCTGGGCTGTATCGCAAATGAAAAAATACAATGACCTTTCTGTACAAGTTAAATGTTTACACTATTTAGGCCCCCTTTATAACAACATATCTTACAGGACCCCGCCATTAGCTTACTCCGGCACTGGATAAACCCCAATTACCGCCATCACACGTGTGTGTGTGTGTGTGTCGTTATTTCTGCGTATCGTTATTTCTGTGTGCGTTGTCTCTGTGTGTGTGCACAGATGCCATAGTCTCTGTCCGTCCGCTACAGCAGAGGTGTGTAGGGAATTCCAACAAGACCTACATCTCTGCTTTGTTGACCTGGTCAAGCCCAGGCAAAGCTACGTGGCTGGGAGGGTTTAACCGTTCAGGACCTTGTGAGGAGCTCACAAATCCTTGAGAGATCTGGATGCAGTCCCATCGGTGAGCTCCTCCAGCAGGCAAGCCAACGCAAGTCCAAACAGATTTTGTTTGCCCAGATAGAGGGGGCTAAACGGGCTAGAGAAGAGACGGAGTGATGGGTGAGTGGGTGAGTGTGTGGGTGAGTGGGTGAGTGGATGATTGAGTGAGTGACACGGGCTAGAGAAGAGATGGAGTGATGTGGTACAGGAGGATGTGGAGCTGAGTGGACTTGCCGATGACTGGTACCAGCGGTGTCATGATCGGCCTCTGTGGAGGAGGCTCGTGAAGGACGCTACTGGAGATTTGGGAGGCAGTCACAACAACGGAGGGCGGAGGAGCGACGCTCACAACAACGAGCGGAGCGCCGGGTGAGTAAAGCACAGCAAGTTGGTACAATAGGGGGCACAGCTGGTCGACCCATGGCACCTGCTGGGTCTGCCCCGTGATCTCCTGCCAGCGGGCGTTCGACACTTCACGTGGCCTCAACGTGCACCTAGCCTGGCACAAGCGTCGTGGTGACGTCACCGCCACTTAGTGGCGAATGGCGGCTGTTGTTGTTGTTGTTGTGCGTGTTTGTCTGTGTGTGGGGAGCGGTGGTTAGCGCTACAAACCCGGTGACCCGAGTTCGATTCCCGCTCACGGCCACCACCGCCAGCGACGATTCTCTGAACCGGTCCTGGGCCTCCCCTAGGTCGACTCAGCCTCAAATGAGCACGTTGTGCGGTGCATAAACGTCACCACTGGGGAGACAAAGGCGGCCGGGCGTGGTGCTGGTCACTCACCCCCTCGTGTGCCACAGTGCCGGTAGCCTTCATAGGTGCTAACAGCACTTGCCCCTACAGCCCTGCTAGAGGCTACACGGGGGATCTTTGTCTGTGTATAGGTGCTGCTGCTACTCGCTACTACACACAGCACTTGCCCCTACAGCCCTGTTAGAGGCTACACGGGGGATCTTTGTCTGTGTATAGGTGCTGCTGCTACTCGCTACTAACAGCACTTGCCCCTACAGCCCTGTTAGAGGCTACACGGGGGATCTTTGTCTGTGTGTAGGTGCTGCTGCTACTCGCTACTACACACAGCACTTGCCCCTACAGCCCTGTTAGAGGCTACACGGGGGATCTTTGTCTGTGTATAGGTGCTGCTGCTACTCGCTACTACACACAGCACTTGCCCCTACAGCCCTGCTAGAGGCTACACGGGGGATCTGTCTCTGTGTGTGCGTGTGTGTGCGCGTGTCCGTGTCCACACATGCGTGTAAAATATACATGTATGTACAGCTCGGTCCACCTCCAATCGTTAAACCAATCATCGCCTCACAGGTTCAAATACGCATCAAGTTTCCCAGCGTCTGCATTCCCCCCGTCTCCCCACTTCCACGTCTCCCCACGAATCACTGCGCGCGACTGAGCAGCGGCTTCAGTGTCCCCGTGTCTACCTCCTCCTCCTCCTCCTCCTCCACCTCCTCCACCTCGTCTCCCTGCCCCACCTCGTCTTCGGTGATGCCGCCGGCATCACCGTGGCGGTGACCATCGGCACCACCGTGGCGGTGACCATCGCCACCGCCACCGCCGCCACCACCAGCGGCAGAGCTGATGCTGAAGACTCGGATGCCCAGATGCGACGCGATTTGCCGGCACACGGAGACGCAGTAGGTGGAGAGGTCCAGCGTGCACGCGGCCTGAGACGCGCGGAGACGCGCGGAGACGCGGGGAGACACGGGGAGACACGGGGAGACACGGAGAGACGCGCGGAGACACGGGGAGACACACAGAGACACACAGACACGCGGAGACACGCGGAGACACGGGGAGACACGGGGAGACACGGAGAGACACGGGGAGACACGGAGAGACACGGGGAGACACGGAGAGACACGGGGAGACACGGGAAGACACGGGGAGACACGGGGAGACACGGAGAGACACGGGGAGACACGCAGAGACACGCAGAGACACGGGGAGACACGGGGAGACACGCAGAGACACGGGGAGACACACAGACATGCAAAGACACGCAGAGACACGCGGAGACACACACAGACAGGCAGAGACACACAGACTTGTGGAGACACACAGAGACACAGACAAACAGAGACATGCGGAGACACACAGACACACAGAGACACGCGGAGACACACAGAAACAGACACGCAGAGACACGCGGGAGGGAGGCAGATCAGGTAAGTGAGTAGGTGGATGGGTGGTTGAGTGGGTAGGTGTGCGAGTGGGTGGGTGAGTGGGTGAGTGTGCGAATGGGTGAGTGGGTGAGTGTGTGAATGGGTGAGTGAGTGAGTGAGTGGGTGAGCGAGTGGGTGAGCTGGTGGATGGTTGGCTGAGTGGGTGGGTGGTTGAGTGGGTGGGTATGCGAGTGGGTGGGTGAGTGGGTGAGCTGGTGGGTGAGTGGGTGGGTGTGCGAGTGGTTGGTTGAGTGGGTGAGTGTGTGATTGAGTGAGTGGGTGAGCGAGTGGGTGAGCTGGTGGGTGAGTGGGTGGGTGGTTGAGTGGGTGGTTGAGTGGGTGAGTGTGTGATTGAGTGAGTGAGTGAGCGAGTGGGTGAGCTGGTGGGTGAGTGGGTGGGTGGTTGAGTGGGTGGGTGTGTGTGAGTGGGTGGTTGAGTGGGTGGTTGAGTGGGTGAGTGTGTGTGAATGGCTGGTTGAGTGGGTGGTAAGTTGAATGTGTGCGAGTGTGTGGTTGAGTGGGTGAGTGTGTGTGTGGTTGATTGGGTGATCCAGTGGGTGAGTGGGTGGTTAGTTGAGTGGATAAGTGGGTGGGTGAGTAAGTGAGTGAGTGGGTGGGTGAGTGAGTGAGTGAATGAGTGGGTGAGTGAGTGAGTGGGTAGGTGAGTGGGTGAGTGGGTGAGTGAGTGAGAGGGTGGGTGGCTGAGTGAGTGGGTGGGTGAGTGGGTGAGTGAGTTGGTGAGTCAGTGGGTGAGTGAGTGGGTGAGTGAGTGGGTGAGTGAGCGAGTGAGCGGGCGGGTGAGTGAGTGAGTGGGTGCATGAGTGAGTGGGTGAGTGAGTGGGTGAGTGAGATGGTGAGTGACTGGGTGAGTGACTGGGTGACTGAGTGAGTGGACGAGTGACTGAGTGAGTGAGTGCGTGGGTGGGTGAGTGACTGGTTGAGTGGGTGAGTGAGTGGGTGACTAGGTGAGTGACTGGGTGAGTGGGTGGGTGAGTGACTGAGTGAGTGAGTGGGTGGGTGAGTGACTGGGTGAGTGAGTGGGTGAGTGAGTGGGTGAGTGGGTGAGTGACTGAGTGAGTGAGTGGGTGGGTGGGTGAGTGACTGAGTGAGTGGGTGGGTGAGTGACTGGGTGAGTGGGTGAGTGGGTGGGTGAGTGAGTGGGTGAGTGAGTGGGTGAGTGAGTGGGTGAGTGAGTGGGTGAGTGACTGAGTGAGTGAGTGGGTGAGTGACTGAGTGAGTGGGTGGGTGGGTGAGTGACTGAGTGAGTGGGTGAGTGGGTGGGTGAGTGAGTGGGTGAGTGAGTGGGTGAGTGACTGAGTGAGTGAGTGAGTGACTGGGTGAGTGACTGGGTGAGTGAGTGCCTGAGTGGGTGAGTGAGTGGGTGAGTGAGTGAGTGAGTGACTGGTTGAGTGGGTGAGTGAGTGAGTGAGTGACTGGGTGAGTGACTGGTTGAGTGAGTGAGTGAGTGGGTGAGTGAGTGAGTGAGTGGTGGGTGAGTGGTGAGGGTACCATGGTGATCGCGAGCACCACTCCCTGTGTCGGTGAGGAGGTGAGGGGCAGGATGATGAGGAGGGTGAGCGGAGCGAGGAGGATGGGGTCCATCATGGGCACCACACTCCGTGTCATGTGAGCCACCTCATCAGCATCATCAGCATCATCATCAGCAACATCACCATCAGCAACATCATCATCATCAGCATCATCATCAGCATCATCATCACCATCAGCATCATCATTATCACCATCAGCATCATCATTATCACCATCAGCAACATCATTATCACCATCAGCATCATCATTATCACCATCAGCATCATCATTATCACCATCAGCATCATCATTATCACCATCAGCATCATCATCATCACCATCAGCAACATCATTATCACCATCAGCAACATCATTATCACCATCAGCATCATCATTATCACCATCAGCATCATCATTATCACCATCAGCATCATCATCATCAACATCAGCATCATCATCACCATCAGCAACATCATTATCACCATCAGCATCATCATCATCACCATCAGCAACATCATTATCACCATCAGCATCATCATCACCATCAGCAACATCATTATCACCATCAGCATCATCATCATCACCATCAGCAACATCATTATCACCATCAGCATCATCATTATCACCATCAGCATCATCATTATCACCATCAGCATCATCATCATCAACATCAGCATCATCATCACCATCAGCAACATCATTATCACCATCAGCATCATCATCATCACCATCAGCAACATCATTATCACCATCAGCATCATCATTATCACCATCAGCATCATCATTATCACCATCAGCAACATCATTATCACCATCAGCATCATCATTATCACCATCAGCATCATCATTATCACCATCAGCATCATCATCATCAACATCAGCATCATCATCACCATCAGCAACATCATTATCACCATCAGCATCATCATCATCACCATCAGCAACATCATTATCACCATCAGCATCATCATTATCACCATCAGCATCATCATCATCAACATCAGCATCATCATTATCACCATCAGCATCATCATCATCAACATCAGCATCATCATCATCACCATCAGCAACATCATTATCACCATCAGCATCATCATTATCACCATCAGCATCATCATTATCACCATCAGCATCATCATCATCAACATCAGCATCATCATCACCATCAGCAACATCATTATCACCATCAGCATCATCATCATCACCATCAGCAACATCATTATCACCATCAGCATCATCATCATCACCATCAGCATCATCATTATCACCATCAGCATCATCATTATCACCATCAGCATCATCATTATCACCATCAGCAACATCATTATCACCATCAGCATCATCATTATCACCATCAGCATCATCATTATCACCATCAGCATCATCATCATCAACATCAGCATCATCATCACCATCAGCAACATCATTATCACCATCAGCATCATCATCATCACCATCAGCAACATCATTATCACCATCAGCATCATCATTATCACCATCAGCATCATCATTATCACCATCAGCATCATCATCATCAACATCAGCATCATCATCACCATCAGCAACATCATTATCACCATCAGCATCATCATCATCACCATCAGCAACATCATTATCACCATCAGCATCATCATTATCACCATCAGCATCATCATTATCACCATCAGCATCATCATCATCAACATCAGCATCATCATCACCATCAGCAACATCATTATCACCATCAGCATCATCATCATCACCATCAGCAACATCATTATCACCATCAGCATCATCATTATCACCATCAGCAACATCATTATCACCATCAGCATCATCATCATCAACATCAGCATCATCATCACCATCAGCAACATCATTATCACCATCAGCATCATCATCATCACCATCAGCAACATCATTATCACCATCAGCATCATCATTATCACCATCAGCATCATCATTATCACCATCAGCATCATCATCATCAACATCAGCATCATCATCACCATCAGCAACATCATTATCACCATCAGCATCATCATCATCACCATCAGCAACATCATTATCACCATCAGCATCATCATTATCACCATCAGCATCATCATTATCACCATCAGCATCAACATCATCACCATCAGCATCATCATCACCATCAGCAACATCATTATCACCATCAGCATCATCATCATCACCATCAGCAACATCATTATCACCATCAGCATCATCATTATCACCATCAGCATCATCATTATCACCATCAGCATCATCATCATCAACATCAGCATCATCATCACCATCAGCAACATCATTATCACCATCAGCATCATCATCATCACCATCAGCAACATCATTATCACCATCAGCATCATCATTATCACCATCAGCATCATCATTATCACCATCAGCATCATCATCATCAACATCAGCATCATCATCACCATCAGCAACATCATTATCACCATCAGCATCATCATCATCACCATCAGCAACATCATTATCACCATCAGCATCATCATTATCACCATCAGCATCATCATTATCACCATCAGCATCATCATCATCAACATCAGCATCATCATCACCATCAGCAACATCATTATCACCATCAGCATCATCATCATCACCATCAGCAACATCATTATCACCATCAGCATCATCATTATCACCATCAGCATCATCATCATCAACATCAGCAACATCATCACCATCAGCATCATCACCATCAGCATCATCATCACCATCAGCATCATCATTATCACCATCAGCATCATCATCATCACCATCAGCAACATCACCATCACCATCAGCAACATCACCATCAGCAACATCACCATCAGCATCATCATTATCACCATCAGCATCATCATCATCAACATCAGCAACATCATCATCATCAGCATCATCATCACCATCAGCATCATCATTATCACCATCAGCATCATCATCATCAACATCAGCAACATCATCACCATCAGCATCATCATCAACATCAGCAACATCATCACCATCAGCATCATCATCACCATCAGCATCATCATCAACATCATCACCATCAGCAACAGCATCATCATCATCACCATCAGCAACATCACCATCAGCAACATCACCATCAGCAACATCACCATCAGCAACATCACCATCAGCAACATCACCATCAGCATCATCACCATCAGCACCAGCATCATCAGCACCATCATCATCACCAACATCACCATCAGCAACATCACCATCAGCATCATCACCATCAGCACCATCACCGTCAGCATCATCACCGTCAGGAACATCACCATCAGCAATATCACCATCAGCAACATCACCATCACCATCAGCAACATCATCATCAGCAGTCAGCAACATCATCATCAGCGTACCCACCCCCCGTGTCTCTCTCCCCCCGTGTCTCTCTCTCTCCCCCCGTGTCTCTCTCTCCCCCCGTGTCTCTCTCTCCCCCTGTGTCTCTCTCTCCCCCCGTGTCTCTCTCTCCCCCCGTGTCTCTCTCTCTCCCCCCGTGTCTCTCTCTCCCCCCGTGTCTCTCTCCCCCCGTGTCTCTCTCTCCCCCCGTGTCTCTCTCTCTCCCCCCGTGTCTCTCTCTCCACCCGTGTCTCTCTCTCCCCCCGTGTCTCTCTCCTCCCCGTGTCTCTCTCCCCCCGTGTCTCTCTCTCCCCCCGTGTCTCTCTCCCCCCGTGTCTCTCTCTCCCCCCGTGTCTCTCTCTCCACCCGTGTCTCTCTCTCCCCACGTGTCTCTCTGTGTCTATCTCCCCGTGTCTCTCTCCCCGTGTCTCTCTCCCCGTGTCTCTCTCCCCCCGTGTCTCTCTGTGTCTCTCTCCCCGTGTCCCTCTCTCTCCCCGTGTCTCTCTGTGTCTCTCTCCACCCCGTGTTTCTCTCCCCCCGTGTCTCTCTCCCCCCGTGTCTCTCTCTCCCCCCGCGTCTCCCTGTGTCTCTCTCTCCGTGTCTCTCTCCCCGTGTCTCTCCCCCCGTGTCTCTCTGTGTCTCTCTCCCCGTGTCCCTCTCTCTCCCCGTGTCTCTCTGTGTCTCTCTGTCTCTCTCCACCCCGTGTCTCTCTCCCCTCCCGTGTCTCTCTCCCCTCCCGTGTCTCTCTGTGTCTCTCTCTCTGTCTCCCTCCCCCCGTGTCTCTCCACCCCCGTGTCTCTCTCTCCCCGTGTCTCTCTCCCCCCGTGTCTCTCTCCCCCCGTGTCTCTCTGTGTCTCTCTCCCCGTGTCCCTCTCTCTCCCCGTGTCTCTCTGTGTCTCTCTCCACCCCGTGTTTCTCTCCCCCCGTGTCTCTCTCCCCCCGTGTCTCTCTGCCCCCGTGTCTCTCTGCCCCCGTGTCTCTCTCCCCCCGTGTCTCTCTCCCCCCGTGTCTCTCTCCCCCCGTGTCTCTCTCTCCCCCCGCGTCTCCCTGTGTCTCTCTCTCCGTGTCTCTCTCCCCGTGTCTCTCCCCCCGTGTCTCTCTGTGTCTCTCTCCCCGTGTCCCTCTCTCTCCCCGTGTCTCTCTGTGTCTCTCTGTGTCTCTCTCCACTCCGTGTCTCTCTCCCCCCGTGTCTCTCTGTGTCTCTCTCCCCGTGTCCCTCTCTCTCCCCATGTCTCTCTGTGTCTGTCTCTCTCCACCCCGTGTCTCTCTCCCCTCCCGTGTCTCTCTCCCCTCCCGTGTCTCTCTGTGTCTCTCTCTCCGTCTCCCTCCCCCCGTGTCTCTCTCCCCCCGTGTCTCTCTCCCCGTGTCTCTCTCCCCGTGTCTCTCTCCCCCCGTGTCTCTCTCCCCCCCCGTGTCTCTCTCCCCCCGTGTCTCTCTCCCCCCGTGTCTCTCTCTCCCCGTGTCTCTCTCTCCCCCCCCGTGTCTCTCTCTCCCCCCGTGTCTCTCTCTCCCCCCGTGTCTCTCTCTCCCCCCGTGTCTCTCTCTCCCCCCGTGTCTCTCTCTCCCCCCGTGTCTCTCTCTCCCCCCGTGTCTCTCTCTCCCCCCGTGTTTCTCTCTCCCCCCGTGTCTCTCTCTCCCCCCGCGTCTCTCTATCCCCCCGTGTTTCTCTCTCCCCCCGTGTCTCTCTCTCCCCCCGTGTCTCTCTCTCCCCCCGTGTCTCTCTCCCTCCTCGTGTCTCTCCCCTCCCGTGTCTCTCCGTGTCTCTCTGCGTCTCTCTCTCCCCGCATCTCTCTCTCCCCGTGTCTCTCTCCACCCCGTGTCTCTCCCCTCCCGTGTCTCTCTGTGTCTCTCTCCCCGTGTCTCTCCCCTCCCGTGTCTCTCTGTGTCTCTCTCTCCGTCTCCCTCCCCCCGTGTCTCTCTCCCCGTGTCTCTCTCCCCCGTGTCTCTCTCTCTCCCCGTGTCTCTCTCTCTCTCCCCGTGTGTCTCCACCCACCCCCCCGTGTCTCTCCCCCCGTGTCTCTCTCCACCCCGTGTCTCTCTCCCCTCCCGTGTCTCTCTCCCCCCCCGTGTCTCTCTGTGTCTCTCTCTCCGTCTCCCTCCTGCCGCGTCTCTCCCCCCCCCCTTGTCTCACCACGAGTTGGTTGGTGATCTTGGCGGACACGACTCCGAAGGCGAGGACGAAGAGACACGGGTGAGACACAAACGCGGAGACGCCCGGAGACACGGAGGCAACGAGCAAAGCCGGCAGCAGCAGGCCCAGCAGTGGTATGGCGGGAGGGAGCACAGACCCACCCTGGAGACACGGGGGAGACACGGGGGAGACACGGGGGAGACACGGGGGAGACACGGGGGAGACACGGGGGTGAGACACGGGAGGGAGCACAGACCCACCCTGGAGACACGGGGGAGACACGGGGGAGACACGGGGGAGACACGGGGGAGACACGGGGGGGAGACACGGGGGAGGAGACACGGGGGAGACACGGGGGAGACACGGGGGAGACACGGGGGAGAGACACGGGGGAGACACGGGGGTGAGACACGGGGGTGAGACACGGGAGGGAGCACAGACCCACCCTGGAGACACGGGGGGGGAGACACGGGGGAGACACGGGGGAGACACGGGGGAGACACGGGGGTGAGACACGGGAGGGAGCACAGACCCACCCTGGAGACACGGAGGGGGAGACACGGGGGAGACACGGGGGAGACACGGGGGAGACACGGGGGAGACACGGGGGAGACACGGGGGAGACACGGGGGAGATGTGGGGGAGAGACACGGGGGAGACGCGGGGTGAGACACGGGAGGGAGCACAGACCCACCCTGGAGACACGGGGGGGAGACACGGGGGAGACACGGGGGCGACACGGGGGGGACACGGGTGGGAGACACGGGGGAGACACGGGGGAGACGCGGGGGAGACACGGGGGAGACACGGGGGAGACACGGGGGTGATGTGGGGGAGACACGGGGGGGAGACACGGGGTGAGACACGGGAGGGAGCACAGACCCACCCTGGAGACACAGGGGGGGAGACACGGGGGAGACACGGGGGAGACACGGGGGAGACGCGGGGTGAGACACGGGGGAGACGCGGGGGAGATGTGGGGGAGAGACACGGGGGAGACGCGGGGTGAGACACGGGAGGGAGCACAGACCCACCCTGGAGACACGGGGGGGGAGACACGGGGGAGACACGGGGGAGACACGGGGGGGACACGGGGGAGACACGGGGGGGACACGGGGTGAGACATGGGGTGAGACACGGGGTGAGACACGAGGTGAGACACGGGGAGAGACACGGGGTGAGACATGGGGTGAGACACGGGGTGAGACACGGGGTGAGACACGGGGTGAGACACGGGGGAGACACGGAGGGGAGACACGGGGGGGAGACACGGGGGAGACACGGGGGGGAGACACGGGGGAGACACGGAGGGTGAGACACGGGGGTGATGTGGGGGAGACGCGGGGTGAGACGCGGGGTGAGACGCGGGAGAGACGCGGGGGGAGAGAGACATGGGGGGGGAGACACGGGGAGAGAGAGACACGGAGAGAGACATGGGGGGAGAGACACGGGGAGAGAGACATGGGGGGAGAGAGACATGGGGGGGGAGACACGGGGGGAGAGAGACACGGGGAGAGACACTGGGGGAGAGAGACACTGGGGGAGAGAGACACGGGGAGAGAGAGACACGGGGAGAGAGAGACACGGGGAGAGAGAGACACGGGGAGAGAGACATGGGGAGAGAGAGACACGGAGAGAGACACGGGGAGAGAGAGACACGGAGAGAGACGTGGGGAGACACGGGGAGAGACACAGGAGGAGAGAGACACGGGAGGAGAGAGACAAGGAGAGAGACACGGAGAGAGAGAGACACGGAGAGAGACACGGAGAGAGACTCACGGGGGGAGAGACACGGAGAGAGACACGGGGGGAGAAACAGTGAGAGAGACACGGGGGGAGAGAGACCCGGGGGGAGAGAGACCCGGGGGGAGAGAGACCCGGGGGGAGAGAGACACGGGGGGAGAGAGACACTGGGGGAGAGAGACACGGGGGGAGAGAGACACGGGGGGAGAGAGACACGGGGGGAGAGAGACACGGGGGGAGAGAGACACGGGGGGAGAGAGACACGGGGGGAGATAGACACGGGGGGAGATAGACACGGGGGGAGATAGACACGGGGGGAGAGACACGGGGGGAGAGACACGGGGGGAGAGACACGGGGGGAGAGACACGGGGGGAGAGACACGGGGGGAGAGAGACACGGGGGGAGAGAGACACGGGGGGGAGAGACACGGGGATAGAGACACGGGGAGAGAGACACGGGGAGAGAGACACGGGGGGAGAGACACGGAGAGAGACACGGAGAGAGACACGGGGAGAGACACGGGGAGAGACACGGGGAGAGACACGGGGAGAGACACGGGGAGAGACACGGGGAGAGACACGGGGAGAGACACGGGGGGAGTGACACACGGGGGGAGAGACACGGGGGGAGAGACACGGGGGGAGAGAGACACGGGGGGAGAGAGACACGGGCGGAGAGAGACACGGGGGGAGACTTACGGGGGGAGAGACACGGGGGGAGAGACACGGGGGGAGAGACACGGGGGGAGAGACACGGGGGGAGAGAGACACGGGGGGAGAGAGACACGGGGGGAGAGAGACACGGGGGGAGAGAGACACGGGGGGGGGAGACACGGGGATAGAGACACGGGGAGAGAGACACGGGGAGAGAGACACGGGGGGAGAGACACGGAGAGAGACACGGAGAGAGACACGGAGAGAGACACGGGGAGAGACACGGGGAGAGCCACGGGGAGAGACACGGGGAGAGACACGGGGAGAGACACGGGGAGAGACACGGGGAGAGACACGGGGAGAGACACGGGGGGAGTGACACACGGGGGGAGAGACACGGGGGGAGAGACACGGGGGGAGAGACACGGGGGGAGAGACACGGGGGGAGAGACACGGGGGGAGAGACACGGGGGGAGAGACACAGGGGGAGAGACACGGGGGGAGAGACACACGGGGGGGAGAGAGACACGGGGGGAGGCACGGGGTGAGACACGGGGGAGACACGGGGTGAGACACGGGGGAGACACGGGTGAGACACGGGGGTGAGACACGGGAGGGAGCACAGACCCACCCTGGAGACACGGGGGGGACACGGGGGAGACACGGGGGAGACACGGGGGAGACACGGGGTGAGACACGGGGTGAGACACGGGGGAGACACGGGGGGGAGCACAGACCCACCCTGGAGACACGGGGGAGACACGGGGGGGAGACACGGGGGAGAGACACGGGGGAGAGACGCGGGGGAGAGACACGGGGGAGACGCGGGGGAGACACGGGGGAGACGCGGGGGAGACGCGGGGGAGACGCGGGGGAGACGCGGGGGAGACGCGGGGGAGACACGGGGTGAGACACGGGGTGAGACACGGGGTGAGACACGAGGTGAGACACGGGGAGAGACACGGGGTGAGACATGGGGTGAGACACGGGGTGAGACACGGGGTGAGACACGGGGTGAGACACGGGGGAGACACGGAGGGGAGACACGGGGGGGAGACACGGGGGAGACACGGGGGGGAGACACGGGGGAGACACGGAGGGTGAGACACGGGGGTGATGTGGGGGAGACGCGGGGTGAGACGCGGGGTGAGACGCGGGAGAGACGCGGGGGGAGAGAGACATGGGGGGGGAGACACGGGGAGAGAGAGACACGGAGAGAGACATGGGGGGAGAGACACGGGGAGAGAGACATGGGGGGAGAGAGACATGGGGGGGGAGACACGGGGGGAGAGAGACACGGGGAGAGACACTGGGGGAGAGAGACACGGGGAGAGAGAGACACGGGGAGAGAGAGACACGGGGAGAGAGAGACACGGGGAGAGAGAGACACGGGGAGAGAGACATGGGGAGAGAGAGACACGGAGAGAGACACGGGGAGAGAGAGACACGGAGAGAGACGTGGGGAGACACGGGGAGAGACACAGGAGGAGAGAGACACGGGAGGAGAGAGACAAGGAGAGAGACACGGAGAGAGAGAGACACGGAGAGAGACACGGAGAGAGACTCACGGGGGGAGAGACACGGAGAGAGACACGGGGGGAGAAACAGGGAGAGAGACACGGGGGGAGAGAGACCCGGGGGGAGAGAGACCCGGGGGGAGAGAGACCCGGGGGGAGAGAGACCCGGGGGGAGAGAGACCCGGGGGGAGAGAGACACGGGGGGAGAGAGACACGGGGGGAGAGAGACACGGGGGGAGAGAGACACGGGGGGAGAGAGACACGGGGGGAGAGAGACACGGGGGGAGAGAGACACGGGGGGAGATAGACACGGGGGGAGATAGACACGGGGGGAGAGACACGGGGTGAGAGACACGGGGGGAGAGACACGGGGGGAGAGAGACACGGGGGGAGAGACACGGGGGGAGAGAGACACGGGGGGAGAGAGACACGGGGGGAGAGACACGGAGAGAGACACGGAGAGAGACACGGGGAGAGACACGGGGAGAGACACGGGGAGAGACACGGGGAGAGACACGGGGAGAGACACGGGGAGAGACACGGGGGGAGTGACACACGGGGGGAGAGACACGGGGGGAGAGACACGGGGGGAGAGACACGGGGGGAGAGAGACACGGGGGGAGAGAGACACGGGCGGAGAGAGACACGGGGGGAGACTTACGGGGGGAGAGACACGGGGGGAGAGACACGGGGGGAGAGACACGGGGGGAGAGACACGGGGGGAGAGAGACACGGGGGGAGAGAGACACGGGGGGAGAGAGACACGGGGGGAGAGAGACACGGGGGGGGGAGACACGGGGATAGAGACACGGGGAGAGAGACACGGGGAGAGAGACACGGGGGGAGAGACACGGAGAGAGACACGGAGAGAGACACGGAGAGAGACACGGGGAGAGACACGGGGAGAGCCACGGGGAGAGACACGGGGAGAGACACGGGGAGAGACACGGGGAGAGACACGGGGAGAGACACGGGGAGAGACACGGGGAGAGACACGGGGGGAGTGACACACGGGGGGAGAGACACGGGGGGAGAGACACGGGGGGAGTGACACACGGGGGGAGAGACACGGGGGGAGAGACACGGGGGGAGAGACACGGGGGGAGAGACACGGGGGGAGAGACACGGGGGGAGAGACACGGGGGGAGAGACACGGGGGGAGAGACACACGGGGGGGAGAGAGACACGGGGGGAGAGACACACGGAGAGAGACACGGGGAGAGAGACACACGGAGAGAGACACGTGGAGAGACACGTGGAGAGACACGGAGAGAGACACGGAGAGAGACACGGAGAGAGACACGGAGAGAGACGTGGGGAGACACGGGGTGAGACACGGGGAGAGACACTGAGAGAGAGACACTGAGAGAGAGACACGGAGAGAGAGAGAGACACGGAGAGAGACACGGAGAGAGACTCACGGGGGGAGAGACACGGAGAGAGACACGGAGAGAGACACGGAGAGAGACACGGAGAGAGACACGAAGAGAGACACGAAGAGAGACACGGAGAGACTCACGGGGGGAGAGACACGGAGAGAGACACGGAGAGAGACACGGGGAGAGACACGGGTAGACGTACGGAGAGAGACACGGAGAGAGACACGGGGAGAGACACGGGGAGAGACACGGGGAGAGACACGGGGAGAGACACGGGGAGAGACACGGGGAGAGACACGGAGAGAGACACGGAGAGAGACACGGAGAGAGAGACGCGGAGAGAGACGCGGAGAGAGACACGGAGAGAGAGACACGGAGAGAGAGACACGGAGAGAGAGACACGGAGAGAGAGACACGGAGAGAGAGACACGGAGAGAGAGACAGGGAGAGAGAGACACGGAGAGAGACACGGAGAGAGAGACACGGGGAGAGAGACACGGGGAGAGAGACACGGGGAGAGAGACACGGGGAGAGAGACACAGAGAGAGACACGGAGAGAGACACGGAGAGACACGGAGAGAGAGACACGGGGAGAGAGACACGGAGAGAGACACGGAGAGAGACACGGAGAGAGACACGGGTAGACGTACGGAGACAGCCGGAGCACCGCTGGCCGCGTGTCTCAAGATGGCCACCGCGTAGGAAGGAAGTGCGTAGAGTGCCCCTCCCAGCATGCCGAGCACAGGAAGTAGCCGCAGGGACTGCTGGGTAAACGGAATCTGCGGGGACACGGGGACGTAGACACCCGGTGACCTGTGTGACCTTTGACCCGGTGACCTGTGTGACCTTTCACCGAGTGACCACGCATGGTGACCGCCCAGCAAACTGCAACTCTCCCCCCTCTCACCCTTTGCCCACACACCCTCGACCCCGTGACCCCGTAACCCAGCGACACCGTGACCCCGTGACCCAGTGACACCGTGACTCCGTGACTCCGTAACCCAGCGACACCGTGACCCTGTGACCCAGTGTCCCCTTGACCCAGTGACCCAGCGACACCGTGACCCCGTAACCCAGCGACACCGTGACCCCGTGACCCAGTGTCCCCGTGACCCCGTTACCCAGCGACACCGTGACCCCGTGACCCAGTGTCCCCGTGACCCCGTGACCCCGTTACCCAGCGACACCGTGAACCCGCGAACCAGTGTCCCCGTGACCCCGTAACCCAGCGACACCGTGACCCCGTGAACCCGTGATCCAGCGACACCGTGACCCCGTGACCCAGTGTCCCCGTCACCCCATCACACAGTGACACCATGACCCCATGACCGCGTGACCCCATTACCCAGCGACACCGTGACCCCATCACCCAGTGACACCATGACCCTGTGAACCCGTGACCCCGTTACCCAGCGACACCGTGACCCCGCGAACCAGTGTCCCCATGACCCCGTGACCCCGTTACCCCGTTACCCAGCGACACCGTGACCCCGTGACCCCGTTACCCAGCGACACCGTGACCCCGTGACCCCGTGAACCTGCGAACCAGTGTCACCTTGACCCAGCGACCCTGTAACCCATTGACACCATGACCCCATCACACAGTGACACCATGACCCCATGACCGCGTGACCCCATTACCCAGCGACACCGTGACCCCATCACCCAGTGACACCATGACCCTGTGAACCCGTGACCCCGTTACCCAGCGACACCGTGACCCCGCGAACCAGTGTCCCCATGACCCTGTGACCCCGTTACCCAGCGACACCGTGACCCCATCACCCAGTGACACCATGACCCTGTGAACCCGTGACCCCGTTACCCAGCGACACCGTGACCCCGCGAACCAGTGTCCCCATGACCCCGTTACCCCGTTACCCAGCGACACCGTGACCCCGTTACCCAGCGACACCGTGACCCCGTGACCCCGTCACCCAGCGACACTGTGAACCTGCGAACCAGTGTCACCTTGACCCAGCGACCCTGTAACCCATTGAATCAGTGTCCCAATGACCCAGCTTCCCCGTGTCCCCGTGACCCAATGACCCAACTACCGTGTCCCCGTGTCCCCGTGACCCCGTGACCCCGTGACCTGCGTGCTCCACAGCTCTTCCCCGCCCAGCGCGGAGAGGAGGAAGACCACGACGATGGCGACCTGCACCTCTGTCACGTCGACCCTGCACGGGGGCCATGGGGGGGGCACGGGGTAGGGGGGCACGGGGGGGGGCACGGGGGGGGCACGGGGGGGGCACGGGGGGGGGCACGGGGGGGCCACGGGGGGGGGGCGGCACAGTGCTCTGTGTGGGTGCTCTACGGGCACAGTAGAACATCACCGTGACAACCGTGTGTGTGTGTAGACACTGTGTGTGTGTGTGTAGACACTGTGTGTGTGTGTGTAGACACTGTGTGTGTGTGTGTGTGTAGACACTGTGTGTGTGTGTGTAGACACTGTGTGTGTGTGTGTGTACACCCTGCGTGTGTGTGTAGACACTGTGTGTGTGTGTACACACTGCGTGTGTGTGTAGACACTGTCTGTGTACACACTGTGTGTGTGTGTGTAGACACTGTGTGTGTGTGTGTGTGTAGACACTGTGTGTGTGTGTGTGTACACACTGTGTGTGTGTGTGTGTACACACTGTGTGTGTGTGTAGACACTGTGTGTGTGTAGACACTGTGTGTGTGTGTGTAGACACTGTGTGTGTGTGGACACTGTGTGTGTGTAGACACTGTGTGTGTGTAGACACTGTGTGTGTGTGTACGCTGTGTGTGTGTGTGTACACACTGTGTGTGTGTGCACCCTGTGTGTGTGTAGACACTGTGTGTGTGTAGACACTGTGTGTGTGTGTGTACGCTGTGTGTGTGTGTGTACGCTGTGTGTGTGTGTGTACACCCTGTGTGTGTGTACACCCTGTGTGTGTGTGTGTGCACTGTGTGTGTGTGTAGACACTGTGTGTGTGTACACACACACACACACTGTGTGTGTGTGTGTGTACACCCTGTGTGTGTGTGTGTACACCCTGCGTGTGTGTGTACACTGTGTGTGTGTACACACTGTGTGTGTGTGTGTGTACACACTGTGTGTGTGTGTGTACACCCTGTGTGTGTGTGTACACACTGTGTGTGTGTGTAGACACTGTGTGTGTGTGTAGACACTGTGTGTGTGTGTGTGTACGTACACTGTGTGTGTGTGTGTAGACACTGTGTGTGTACACACTGTGTGTGTGTGTGTGCACACACTGTGTGTGTAGACACTGTGTGTGTAGACACTGTGTGTGTAGACACTGTGTGTGTGTGTGTAGACACTGTGTGTGTGTGTGTGTAGACACTGTGTGTGTGTGTACACTGTGTGTGTGTACACCCTGTGTGTGTGTGTACACCCTGTGTGTGTGTACACCCTGTGTGTGTGTGTACACCCTGCGTGTGTGTGTGTACACACTGTGTGTGTGTGTACACCCTGCGTGTGTGTGTGTACACCCTGCGTGTGTGTGTGTACACACTGTGTGTGTGTGTGTACACACTGTGTGTGTACACACTGTGTGTGTGTGTACACACTGTGTGTGTACACACTGTGTGTGTACACACTGTGTGTGTGTGTGTGCACACACTGTGTGTGTACACACTGTGTGTGTGTGTGTGCACACACTGTGTGTGTAGACACTGTGTGTGTGTGTAGACACTGTGTGTGTGTGTAGACACTGTGTGTGTGTGTAGACACTGTGTGTGTGTACACCCTGTGTGTGTGTACACCCTGTGTGTGTGTGTACACCCTGTGTGTGTGTGTACACCCTGTGTGTGTGTGTACACCCTGCGTGTGTGTGTACACACTGCGTGTGTGTGTGTACACACTGTGTGTGTGTGTGTACACACTGTGTGTGTGTGTGTACACACTGTGTGTGTGTGTGTACACACTGTGTGTGTGTACACACTGTGTGTGTGTACACCCTGTGTGTGTGTGTGTACACCCTGTGTGTGTGTGTACACCCTGTGTGTGTGTGTACACCCTGTGTGTGTGTGTACACCCTGTGTGTGTGTGTACACCCTTTGTGTGTGTGTGTGTGTACACCCTGTGTGTGTGTGTGTACACACAGTGTGTGTGTGTGTGTACACACAGTGTGTGTGTGTGTACACACAGTGTGTGTGTGTGTACACCCTGTGTGTGTGTGTACACACTGTGTGT